TGTAACGCGGCACGTTAAGTCAATCGTAACACGTGTCGCGATCAAGCGCACGCAGCGGTCGGCGAATCGTGATTTAATTTTGTCGCGCGGCTCTGCCTCGCTCAAATCGCTGACGACTCTCGCCGAAGCGAGTCCGCGCGAGAGTTGATTCGCAATTTGCAGTCAGCCCGCAATTTAACTTCTCTCGGAGTTTCTCTTCGTGCGGGCCCGCGCGCGAAGAAATTGCAATTGCATCCATACTGATTAGATAATTACGTAGCCGCTCCGTAGTCCACGATAAATAATGTAAAATCCGCGGTCGCAAAGATTTCGATTAACATTTAATCGGGAGTATAATGCAATCGATAAGGTTAAATGTCAAGGCGAGATCGCCAACAAAATTGTAAACTTTGCATACACGCGCGAGTATTGCGAGAAATGCGCACGGGGATCGCTTGCGCGTGTGCGATAAAAAAAAAATAACTGTGCGCGCGCGCGCGATTATTAAATAATTATTTAAACCCCTATCCGCGATATTCTGCCGGTCGTGCCGTGTATGTACAATATGTATACATAGTGCTCGGAAGTAAATGTCAAACGGCATGGTGGAACGCATTACATGCAAAGAGTTCGTTACACTCTAATTCCAGCGATTTCCTCGCTGGGCGACACGCATCGCGTGCACATTAGCGATTAGCTTCGCGATTATACAACGCACGTAGTCACCTACAAAAATCGAGCATGCTGGGTAATATTTCTTTTTACATAAAATGGCTGAAAAAAGGAAGATCACAAAATTGGACTTTCTATAATTATTTCGTAAGAGAAAAAAATTTACATTTCTCTACCTCGTGACATTTGGGCGTGTACCCAGCGTTTAATACAAATTACTAGCTTATTTCGCTACAATTACATCAATAGATACTGAAAAATTCGATAATATTTGATACACTGTGCGGAGTTCAATCGAGCATCGAGATAATTTCGGGATGAATTAATGGTGTCATCTGTGATGAATCTGTCACCAGATATCGTTAACTGGCAAATTACGTTAACGCGAGCAGTTCAGTTTTTTCGTAATAGAAACTGACGTGAGTAATCAATTGAATTATCAATATTCTGAAAGCCTGAATGAAACTTTATTCTTCAATTATTCGCTCAACAATTTTTTGTTGCAATTTTTGCAATGTTCTCTGCGACTGGAAAAATTCTTGTGACATTCCAAATAATTTTGTCAAGTTTTTTAATGCATTAAATCATCGCTGTACATTTGCGAGTTTTTTTTCCTGAAATGGCCTCTTCCAGCAGTTTTGTTCGCGTATTTTTAAAAGATATCGAAAATTCTTTGTCTCTTCACCGACTTAAAAATCAGGTCTCGACGGCACGAGAAAAGTGACTTTTATCGTCAAACGTTTCGCTGACCGAGAAGCGAAGCGCCAGGAAAATGGGCAACAGCGGAGGTAGTATCTAGGTCGCTCTAGGTCACGTGGAGGTCGATTATCCGACAGTATCATACATGGAGAAGAAAGAAGAAGTGAGCGAAGCGTATTCTACTGTCCGACCCTCATCCACCTTAATCTTTCCATGTTCAGTCCGTTTCCTCGAGTCTACATCACTTTTTGTGAGATTTTAATGGAAATCCGCAGTTTTCGGTGAAGTTTAAATCTGCACGTTTGTTTAAACTAGACGTATTACTTGCGTTAATAACATTTCCGTGCACAAAATAAGTCAGAGGTTGAATATCTTTCGCTCAACGTGTAACCATTTTCTTACGCAAGCATGAGAAGCTTAAAAGTTTTTAAATTTTTAAACGAAAAAAAATTATTTTCCTAAGTACTATCCTCAGAAATCTTTTTCACATTACGTTAATAAAAAATTTAAGAATAAGTTCACAGGTTTGATGAAATCTTTTTGCACCCGAGAAGACACGCAGCGTCTCCCTTTTTTTCCACATTTTTTCGTTTCCCAAGATCGGTCTAGAATACTCCTTCACTTGGCCTCGATTGGGTGACATCGCAATTGGAAAAATTCGCGTAAAAAACGCGTCGATAGATTACGACGAAGAACTCACGGAAAAGAGGAAAAGGCGAACAAGCGTGAGGGAGACAACAAGGAGAAAAGAGAGAGAGAGAAAAAAAGACGTCACGCGGGAAATTCATGCGTCATCGTTGTCGGGATGAAATAATATTATCGCGCTGTTCGCATAGCGAGCCCGTCGTGTTAAACCGGATGACGAGAGGGGATAGTAATTTATCGCACGACATAAATTATGTATAACGTTGAAACGACCCTCCTGCAGCGCGCGACGAGTTTGTAGTTACCTTCGTATAACCGGTGTTTCTTGTCTTAAGTAGCTAAAACTTGGTCTTTAGCGAAAGCGCTTGCAAGCCTCACGGATACGATCGTTCCGCAGGAAATTATCGAAGTACTTCCAAACTAACAACATAGAGTACAAGAGTACTTTCATCGATCGACTAAATACTTTTGAAGAACGTCAATGCGCTTAATGATTTCGTGTTAACGAACTGTCGCGGATACTTAAATTTACGAAAGACATGAAACGTATATAAGCTAAAATCTCACTGCTATTTGCCTAATGTGAAAAAATTAATGCGTCACAGTTATTTTTAATTTCTATGCGAAAATATTGTTTATAATTAGAAAATCATGTAAAAATTTCGATATGAAAAGCATCTCAATTGTAAAGTAAATAAATCGTCAATATAGGAGATATCAATTTAACGCTACATAAAAATAAAAACATTCGACTATACTTGTCGTATTTGTTTATATGTTACAATTTTTTTTACGCACAAATTGCGCCATATACCGAATGCGCTGTAAAGAAGATGGCGCAGTGCCATTCGCGGTATGAACGCTTCATTCTCTCTTAACGATCGCCGTTTATGAAAGCGATAAGAGTCCTCCCGCTTCTCCCCCTCCCCCCCGTCACAACTTCAATTCGCGCGTAACTCGCGATCGTCTATTAATCTCTCACGAAAATGACCCGCGTTCTCTGATGCAGGTGCACCCATTGAATTTTCGCGCGATGCTATCTCGCATTGTGCTGAACGTCTGCATAATTTATATTTAACGATCCTCCCCTCCGAGGCGCGACGGTAATGGATTCAGATTCAATTACACATCGATGGTCTCGCCCGATGAATTTCTTTCACGGAATGCCCATAGAGAATTTTGACAGTTGCAGTGAAATTTCACTTTCAAAGTTTTCGAATGCTAATCCTCGAAAAGTCAAAATAAAATCTGTGATATTTTCGGTACACTCGACATTCGTCGGTATTGGTATTTTAGAATAAAATAGTTCAAAATACAATAAAATATAATGTAACATCAACAAATATACGAGATGTCTGACAAGTATTAAATAAATGTAAATTTTACCGCAATCTAATTATATATAGGCGATTTTTGGAAACGATAAGCATTATCACATAGACTCATGTAATTTTCTGTAATTAAAACCATATAATTATCCAGTGGGAATGGCGGCGACGCGATAACGCACGGCGAATTAATTAACCTAATTCCCGAATTATTCATACGAGGCTGCGTTGCAATTATGTGCGTGTGCGTGTGTATGTGTATGCTTTTGCGGGAAAACACTCGACGAGTTCAGTCGAATTGATCATTTCGACGCTCGCTTTGGCGTCGGTTGTACAATTAAATACCGGAAGGCGCAACGGCGATCCGGATGTGTACCTCATTCCGCGCCGATTATCGAGCGATCCGGATGCGCGACCGCGAAATATCCCGCCCTATATATCGGTCCCCGCTATCGACCGCAGTCGGGACGATAGAAAAACATTGCACCCCACGAAGGGTGCGATCAATAATGCCTTTCGGTTTTTCACACCCAAGTGTCCAAGGACGTCGGGTCCAAACGTGAGGAAACACCCTCCTCCTTGAGACTCTCTCCGTCGTATGAAGGAGCCTCGACGTCGTCCACCCTGCGGTCACGCGGTCTCAACGCGGGACCGGATATAACGTACCGATGCACCAGCACACATTCACCGGAACTAAGCGCGACCGAACCGCCCACCCGCGAGCCCCGTCGCATGTTCGACTCCCGAGGCCGACGAGCTGCAAAGTCGCGGCCGAACTGTTTTGTCCACGTGTTGCGGACAGTCAACGGGGGCAGGATAATGCAGACCTCGATCTTACCACGTGACAGACCGTAGCGAGACCGCACGGCCTTCCGGGGAATCCCGGGATGACCTCGCGCCGTCCCTGCCCTCTGTCGGAGGGTGCGGCAGGTTATTCCAGGGATGATTTAGCGAACAGTGATCCGCAACTGTTCTAATCGAGATTCGAATGATTTGAAACTATTGTGACAAGATCAATTGGAAATCAAGGATTTAAAAGTACCAGAATTCGGTCGGAATTCCTTTGTTACGCTCAGAAGCTAATTATAATCTAATTCAGATCGTCGAAATTCACAACGTTTTGAACAATAATTTTTTGTTCTGTTTACATCGAATCTGATCAATACGCGAAAATGTTGAAGTTGCATGCATATAGAGCATATGCTAATGGATTTTCAAGTTTTCACGATTCGTCGACGTTTGTCAGCAGTAGTATAGCACTCGGTAACAAGAGGAACCGTTTGTTCTCCAACCGTTACCAACCGCAGGAGAACTGCGTTCATCGATCCCGCGGTAAAGGGGTGAATATCTTCAAGGGTGAAAACGTAGGTGGCGAACATTTCGAGCTCGGCGCACGCATGCGCTACTCGCTCAACTCTTTGTGAGCAACACTTTTTTGATCCGCTACTTCAATCTATTTGCATCGAATTTAAATTTTAAAATGAAAAAAAAACAAATTTAAATATTCACGCAAAAATCAACCTCTCTCTTCCTCTTGTTACATTTTTAATGCATTTTATATAAGATAGACGACTAATGTATGTTATACAAGTTAAGTAGAAAATTAGTTTTTTTTCCTTCATTTTGCCGTATACTTAGCTTTTCATCGAATCTTTGGCATATTTTTTTTTATCTTACCTTGTTGAGCGCCTCATGACTGTGCGGGATATCGTCTGGCAGTCTGGGAATTTCATACCCCCCCAGCTGGGCCGCCTCTTTCAGCTGGGGTGGCGACGGTGGCGGTGGCAATTGTTCCTCCACCCCCGTGCCATCAAACTTTGTTTTCTGCAACAAAAAGGAAAACAATTTCATCGAGTTATTATTCTGTACACCAAAAGGTAATAAAAACACTATTCCGGCTTTTTGATTAGATATTACAATCTTAACGATCAATTTGGATACTGCTTCGGCTCCATTCGCGATGTGTTCTAACATTTTCCTGTTTATCGTTGCAGTTAACAGAAGTATAATTTTCTCAACATCGATCGGCCGCGCGAGATTCTTTCCTCCTCCTCCCTCTCCCCATCCAAAATGCGAAATTTCGTCCGTCGATTACGATCTAATGCTATCTTACGGTTACTTGCGTTATTAGAACTTACGTGACTCCAGCAACACTCGCAAACACCCCCGCCGTTCTCGGAGTTACGCGAAATCGCATTATTTGCGCCACGATTGGGCGAGCCCGGCGTTGAATTGGCGTGTCGCTTCGCCCTTCGACGTTTTCGTATTTTGACCGGCACGGTGAACATGTAATCACTGAATCGACGCCTTGAGTGACGTACGATCGACACCCAGTCTATCATCGTGCGAAAACAGTCCGGCCGCGCGTGATATTCCGAATATATATATTTTTTGGTATACGCTGTCCGTCAAAGTCCACTCGATTTGCTGCCGTGCAAACAAGCGAAATGGAGAACGCTATACATATAACGGCAAAAGAAGAACAGAAGCAAATTGAAATGCATAAATATCTTGTTAAACACAGTTGCCATTTGCGCTGCATTAATTTTACAAAACTATTACAAAGGTAATTATTCTAAAAGTGGGGCAGCATTATTTAATGCAATTTTAAGTATTTTATTATTTCAACGTTTTGGAATAATTGTGTTTAAAATATTTTTAAACGCAATTATTCCAAAACATTCTTCGCTCGCTGTGCGCTTTGAGATGTATGTATATATAATTATAAAGAACGGTGGTACTTTACAACTAAAATTTGTCCGCAAGGGAAACGTTTAAAATCGATTTATTTTTATATTATTAGACCTGTCTCAAATATGAAGCTTAAAATTCCACAATGCGGGGAACTTTGTGAAAATGCATAATTTTTTCTACATGAAAGTCTCGTTTTGCAGTCAATATTTTCTAATGAATAAATAACTGTAAACAAAAAAGAAGCCTTTTTAGCATTAGTAATTATTAAATTGATTATCAATTTAATAACGTAATAATACAGTTTTGTTTCAAGCAAAGATCTGCGTTGAATTCGAAAGTAACGGCACGCAGTTCGTTGAAATTAGAATATGTATGTGAAATTCACACAGAAATATTAGAAGCACCAAGATTCTGCTGTGACATTCATTGGCCTTCTCTCAATTTATTATGTGAAAGACTTTTTCATTAAAGTAACTCCGGTATATACGCCGCGCGGAGGATTTATGCCGCAGAAGTCAGAAAAAATAGAAGAAGTGAAAGTAATTTTCTCGCAACCACTCTGTTACATACCTTTATGTTATATTAGTATTGTGTTATAATTTTTCAGTTTTTTAGTGTTAATATTTATAAAATTATTGCAAGTTAAATCGATTTATCACCGTAATAAGTATAGCGCAATCATAAGTTGTAATCTACATAAAATGATTATTGTAGGAAATATAAAAGGTTTTGTGGTTATTTCGTGATACATAAGTGTAGAGGAATTGTAAAGGATAGAGTGTAGCAAAATACAAGTGTTTAGCTCTTTAGATTATTTGTATATTTTTTGTCATTCATTCCACCCGTGAGTAGCCGTATAACCCACCCATATTTTTATACGATAAAAATGCAAGGGTTTAAAGAATTTTTTTTAAATATAAAAAATAAATATTTTGGATTCCTAATATTTTTTTCATAGACAGTCTAAAGTTTTTACTGGTATAGTTCATTTATTTTAACCATAATTAATAGTACCTGATAAATTAAGTTTTTAATAGGTGCGGAATTACCCTAATATTTTTGCACGACGCATGATAATATAAGTGCATGCATTTATGATTGCGTGCATGGATACATGTACATTTCTGTTATCACCATCCATGTAAATGACTCGACGATTAATAGTGACTGAAACGTAATTTGATATTGAAGATCCGTTATCGGAAATAGAAGAATCGTCGTTAGTATTAACGAGTGGGGTGCTTTCGCTGCTTGTAAAAGCTGTCATAGACTCATCACTGTTTTTCTTGTAACATTTATTACAACGTTTGCAGTATGCAGCATTCTGTGAATGTAGGATAAACGTGATTTTTTTTTAGAAAAACGTTATAATTAACATATTTATTAGCTATAGTTACGCAATTTATTATTCCGAACTCAATTCAAGAATAATAGAACAGATGAAGTAAGCTTTGAGTATTTGTAAAAATAATATGCAAATGAGAAATATGAATCAATATGATTTGAAAAAAGTATACGAAGATATGTAAGAAACAACAAATGTAAGAAAAGAAAAAGTCGTATGTGAGTTGCTGCAGTGAACAAGAAAGGAAGTAAGAAATGTAGCGTGAGCTGCAAAGCGGGCCTATCCAACACTTTTGTCGCAAGCTAAACTCACAATCAGTCAAGTTTTTAGTTTCGATAAGCGAGATGGACAAAAAGAAAAACACAAGAAATACAAAAGAATGCTCTAGAGATGTGTCCATCAGTCACTGACTGCTCTATTCTCTCTTGCTTTCTCTCTGTTTCACTTAACGAGACGATGGCGAGTAGAAACGTTAGTTCGCGAGTAAAGTATTGGACAGGCTTGCTGCAAAGCATTATAGAAGCAAATTGTAGAATTTCGATAAAAATGAGCATATGGCTCTCTTTCCGTATTTCCTCCCCCTTCACCCCTTTGTCTCTCGCTCTCTCTCTCTCTCTCTCTCTCTCTCTCTCTCTCTCTCTCTCTCTCAAACATTAATAAAAAACACTTCTTTTGTTCACATATAGGGTAGACCGAGGCGAATTGGATCAATGTAAGTTTTGAAACAGTTATCAATAATTTTTCTGTTTCAAAGGAGTTGTTTTATCATGCTATATGTAACTAGGCATAAAACAGCTCATTTGAAACAGAAAAATTATCGATAACTGTTTCAAAACTTACATTGATCCGATTCGCCTACCCTATCATTTCAGTTCATTAGAAAATATTGGCTGCAAAACGATGCTTTAGTGTAGAACAATTACATTTTCACGAAGTTGTGACCCCGCATTGTGGACAATTTTAAGTTTCGAGTTCAGCAGGTCCAGTAATATAAAAATTAATCGATTTTGAACGTTTCCCTCACGGACAAATTTTAGCTCTAAAGTCCTGCATTCTTTGTTGCAAATCTCGGAGAATTTTCTTTTTACAACTTCAATAATTATTATACTCAATAATTATATTGTAATAATTTTTTTCAGCTCAATTGTCAGTAGGTACATTACAAATAGTTTAGCTCTTTCTCTCTCGTTAAAAAAATTAAGTTAATTATTACTCCCACCTTACATTATTTCGAAATCCTTACAAAATGCGAGGCGAACTTTTCAATTAGCGCTCGAACTTTTTGGCATACGTATTTCAGGCTTCGCGGTAACTTTTTGCGATTCATTTAACCTGCTGCTTCTCAAACGAGTGCTTTCAATTGAGTATCGCGGGCGTGCCCATCGCCGCTACACACGAATCGATATCAATAGCGAAGAGAATATATGTCGGGGATATATGTCACGAATCAAATCCCCCTTTTCTCCCGCTTCTTGTGTTCTGAAAGCGTGTCATAAGTATCAGGCTGTCTCTCTATTCCTCCCTTGTTCCACCACACGCGCTTTATTCCCCCCTGACACAGTCGCGCATCGCGGCCATTATTGTCGAGTGCATTCTCTGAACGCGAATAAAGGCGCTGACAAGGATGGTTGCAATTGAGCGCGCATTCACGTCGAGAGCCAACGCGACTGTGAAAATAACATTCAAAACGCTAATCGGCGAAATGCATTAATTGGGTTAATCGTTGACACGCTTTTAATAAGTAATCCTCGAGCAATTACGCCGAAACTACTTATTGTACGGACAATTCTACGAATATAATTGTGCGAGATAAAGTACTTTTTCAAATGTAAGAAAAGAGATAATAACGATAAATGACTCGTCGATTGAAAAAGGAAATATTTTAAACTTTCAACGGTTTTTAATTTTATCTGCTATTAAAGCTTGTTGACTATTATTTTAATGTTGGATCATTATAGCGAAATATTTTGAATACAACTACCTCACGCGTATGTGTATTTTATCCGAAACCTTTTACCCGTGTTTTCACACTGACGGAAACTCGTGTAAGAATAGATAATGCTCGGGCGTACCACATGCTTGCTATGCTCGCGAGCGTAATTTGCAGCGCGACCAAAGGAAAATTTCAGAGTGATTGAAGCGCTTACGGGCTTCCAAGAATACCAAACACCGCCACATATTGTTTATGGAGAAACCGCGCGTGCGAGAGCGAAATAGTTTAGACTCGGTACTTCAGCGAGCAATCTCCATCAACATTCTATTCCATGAAAACACATCCCATCGTAAATCTCTTGATTTCATATATCACCGTGCCTCAATTCATCGCTACTTTTCAATATCGTTGATCTTTTCAAAAAGGAATTTCTTTAATACACATCTTTATATGCGATGCACGATCTCGCGTTTTCATAGCAATGGAAAAAAAATGCGGGCAAAGTTTCTACAACGACAGATATCGTTCGACCGGAAAGCATAGACCTTTTTATTTTTGTTTCTCTTTCCGACCGTCTTCTACGAAGATTTCTCTTCGTTCGCTTCATCCCATATTTCTCGTCGGATCACGAGGTAATCTCTTCCAAGAAAAACATGAAAAGCAAGGTCGATTATTTGTGGTAATGCCGATTAATAAATTTTTTTTTCTATTATAAGCACTAGAAATTTCAACGAAATCGATGATTGCTAGCGAAAAATTATCTATATGACATATTCCGTAAAATTAATATAAAAATACAGACAGATAAAAATCACTTTCAAGTCAACATGATCGTTTTAATGTCGTAAATCTTAGAGAAATATCTTTTAGTTTTATAAAAATGGTTTTAAATTTTATAAATTTCAGAAAAAAAATGCTACTCGTATTCGAATCAACAATATTATACATTTTCGTTGGAGATACACCTCGTTTTCTCTATATCACACACTATTTTTGACGTTCTCGAAATACAGCTCACGCTCCAGTCATTTCGCGAACATTTCTTCGGGAGACTACAATACAGCATCGACGAAGCAGTAATTAGCAGTAATTCATTGGAGTAAACGATTGCACTTGTGATCACACGATCGAGCCTCGGCGGTCTTTTTGGAGCAGCCGGCTTTGTACTTCGGCGTGGAAGACGTCGGCGTCGGTACTGATGTAAAAGTGACCCGACGCCTGGTATCAATAGCGTGCCGATGCCTCCGAAGAAGGCGTTGCCGTCTAATTCCGACGCCGAAGCATCTTCGCGATTGGACGGCGGTCTTAAAGGGCTCCCCGAAAAGTTGATTTTTTTTTTCTTTCTTTCGATCAAATCCAAAATTATGAGAACTCGGATGATTAATTGCCGCGTTGTGCGCTATTTATAAGTTCAATGAGCCGTTCCCATTTATTTCGTGGCTCTCGACTGGTGACTGTCCATTAATTCTGCGTTCTAAGTGTCGAGTGGCCACGACGGCCACGTTACGTGAGATGTAACATTCTCAGACAATAGTGACGCAGTAGCGGTCCAAGATCGATGCCCGAAGAAATTGCGTTCGCACGCGAATTTACGTCCGCGACCCGATTAAATTCTCGCTTAATTAAACTTCACGCGCACCAAGAGGACGGTAGAATCACCGACCACTTCGTCGGAATTGCGTTCTGGACAATCGTTTACAGCTCAGCTTTCATCGCTTTTTCACTTTTTCTACGGCGAATTTCATCTCGAAACATAATACGTATGCGTCACTTATTAAATTTCATTAATTAATTTATGTTTAATAAGAACGCACAAATACTCTATCGATTTAATTCAAGCCGGGGACATTCGTCTGACGAAGTACATATATCGTGCACAATATCGCTCTCTATTTTCTAACGAGTTAATTAAAAAATAACAAAAAACGACGACGAGCGTTCCAGAAGCTGGTTAAATGACGATCAATAATAAAGTTCCGTTAATGGATATTTTTCCTCTTGACGCGTAACAACGGCAGGCGGTATCGACGTTTCGATCATTAATGAATTAAACAAACCTCAGCATCGACACGTAATCGAAGTTAATCAGGTTACCCAAATCAAACGGAATGCATCATAATGTAACCGCCTCTGGGGCCCGGTTCTGTTTCAAGCATTTCGCCGTATTCCGTCCGTAAATACGCGGACCGCAAAACGGCATCAATAATGACGACACGCAGCTGATTTTCGATTTGGTATACAAGCTGGGGCATCTCGCGGCTATCAATGCGTCTCTGGCTGGTTGCAGCGAACAATGGTAACAGCTAACTTGGTTCGCCAATTAACGCTCATATAGCTTCGGGACGACAAATTATGAAATCGCGAGGCTCGAAGCAGACCGAGTGAGAGTACAGCGATTGCTTTTGTTGGATTTATCATTTAGCCTGCTTGCTCTTCGGCGTATCGGAATTCATTTCGGCGTTATACTCGTATATTGAGCGCAACAATACGCGAAATATCTCCTCGCACGGGTTAATTAACCGTCACGCACAGCCGTCTATCGCGCGCGGGTCTTTTCACGAAATGGCCTCGCGGACTCGTTTTATTCTGCGAATCGGTTGTCCATTACGAGCACAATGCCGGGGCACAATGCAGCGACTCGCTGCAGCGCCGGGAAACCTTGGACTTGATAGGAAGAACATGAGGAGATAATCGAGAACCGCGCGATCGTGTTCTGAAACGAAGCGAAGAATTGCGCGGCAAGGTCTTGCGCCATAACGACGGCGAAAGGATGAAGAGCAGGACGGCGGAAAATTGCAGTCTGCAGCTGACGTTAAAGCGAATTAATTTCTATGTTTATAGTTAACCAAGGTAAACTCCTTATCGTCTTCGCTCAAGAAACTCAAGCAGACGAATGCCCTTTTCATGTTAAACTTTAAGTGCGTGCTAAGCTTTGAAGACAACTAAAAAGCGGTAGTTGGGTACCTGATGGCTTGTATTAATATAATTAGTTGCATATCAAATGGAACAAGAGGATGGTTACGGTTAGTTATATAAAAACACCTTGAACGTTAATTGAATCGTTGATCTTCATTAGCCGGCGTATACTTCAGCTAAATCCAGCCGTTTTAGCTCGTCGAAGTTAATACATGAAATTTAAACGAGCCTGGCACGGAAAGAACGACTTTGCCGGAAGGTCTAAAAATTTTACTGGGTACAGATATGAAAATAATTTTTGTTGGACCATCAAAATAATTTTGTTGAAAATTCAAACTGATGGCTAAAATATCAAAACGTTTTAGCAATGCTTATCATTTTTGAGTTTTCAACAAAATTCTCTTAATAAATAATTTGATTCGTCCAAAATTATTTTCAGATCAAAATTTTTAGATTATTTAACAAAATCGTACTTTTCGTGTGGCTGCAGTTGGACGTGAAAGCGAGAGTTAATTGCAAAAAAAATTTGCTTTTTAAATTTTTTAAATTTTGCTCGAAATGAGAGATTACGAATCCACGCTTTTCATCGATAAAAAATATATCGATATATGTGATACGCAGAAGAATTTCCGATGAAAAGAAGCCAACGAAATAAATTCGCGCTAGTTGCGAAAATTGTTGATGGCACCGGTGAAAACGCAATCCGTCGAGTATTCATCGAGATTTACGTGCGCACGCACTGCGCATATTCATTCCGATTTCCGCGAAATGCCGAGACACGATAGATATGCATTAAATCGATGCTTTTATTTCCACGCTGAAAATATCGGCTCGTTCGACCGGATGCTACTCGAACGGACAAGTACGGCGGGGACCTGTAGGGTATACACGTCGAATAGATTTAAGTGATGATAAAAATGCGGTAAGCGCCGATTTTCCCGCTGTCCGCGTCCGCGTACTCCATGGTGGCTCGCGTATACATATGTATATGTAAATACGCGCTAAGTTACGCGCGTTGGTAATAAAATTTTTCAAAACAGCCATTTCATATTACACTCGCATCGCGAATATATATCATGTTTCAACATTTTCGTGAAACACTGCACGCTGCTGTTTCATTTCAAAGTTCTATTTACGGCAGACAGAACATTATATTGTTGTTATCGTCATATTACATATTCTCTGTGAGATGTAAACTTTGTAAAGAGATAGACAAGAGGTATCGCGTATTTCCAACAATCAGGACAGATACTTCAGTGTTTATAAGCGTACTTATCTGAGATTTATCTATAAGCTCAGTTACGAGAGTGTAAAGGAATTTCCTTCTCTCTTGACTACACGGAAAGAACAATTTTGCTGAATCCAGATCTGAAAATAATTTTTGTTCAATAGTCAAAATTATTTTGTGCGAAAGCCAAAATGATTGCTAGAATATCAAAACGTTTTATAGCAATACTTATCAGTTTTAACATTCCAACAAATTATTTTGATGATTCAATAAAAAATTATTTTCAGATCTGTTTTTAGCAAAATTTTTAGATCTTTCAACAAAATCGTTCTTTCCGTGTAGGAACGTAAAAGCCGCTTTGGATAAATATAAAATTAATGTCATCTCAAATATAAATAAATTAGTTGAAGAGATAAGATTGAAGAACGATTATTTTAATTGAAAAAAAAAATCGATTTATAAATATATTCATATAATTGTTGCTTATTCTTCTTCTTTTTCAATTTGATGATTATAATTATTTCATAACGAAAATTAGATATTTCTTGCAAGAAGGGATCAAAGACTTATTTCTCAGGGATGAAGATAAGCTTCTTGGAAATCGCGTTATCGACGAGGCCTCGGAGGTAGTTTCGGACTGTGAAGTAGATTCTGGGTTGTGCTGCCGCGAATATTTCGAACGAACAAGTTGGTAAGCCAGGGATCTTCGCAAGCATATTCAACTTATACAGAAAACCGGCTTACCGTCGCAAGCCTATGAACAATTATTACCCACAGCTACGAGATAACAATTAATTGAACCATTTCTTATTTCTTATTTTTTGCATGCACCCATCAATACACACATCCACACGAATTCCACGGAATACAGGAAACCATTGTAGCTGATTGGCAATTATTATATCAATTATTATATTAAATTCAATAGCTTAATTCAATAGCTTATTATATTAAATTCAATAGAACAACAATTAAAAGCAATCAAAACAGAAAGAACACATTTTTCAACACTTCAAAAGATTAATATTAATCGTATTGTGACGATCACTATGTGATCCTCTCATAGTTCTAATAGAATAGATTTTAGTTTACAATGACAGTGCGTGTCGCGGGAGAAAATATGTTTAAAAAATGCAATTCACTTTCGCAAAATTTGCACGTTTACGAACCTGAGTTTCATCTAGATTGGAGCCTGGAACATCGGGACTGGCCGATCTGCGGCCATAAATGTTCGACAGAGTCTGGGTCAACGGCAAGGCGGAGGCTGGTCCATCCTGAAACGATCACATCATCTGAAAAACATACCATCATGTCGACGAGGAAAACGCGTATTGCCTTCCGGCAATCCTTTTCTCATCCTCACGTCAGTCAAATATCAATATACAGTTTTCAAACGTGTTTTTTATTTTCTAAGAATTACTACTGCAAATTCGGAACCGTACGCGGAGATATTGTTCAACAACCGTGATCACAGCACGTAAAAATATCGAATATTTTAAATATTAAGTTTCAATATATTAATAATGCCATAATATAATATCAATTTTACCAGAAGTGCTGAGTCAGTAAACAACGTGCCACGCGAGATAGGTATTGCTCTCTTCGAGCGCTCGCGTGCGGCGATTCGAGATTCGTTCTCCTATAGCAAATAGTCGCGTGTGTGCCTTCTGTTTTCTGGCGCACTTGCGGATTTATTTTGTATTTTTGTCAACGACTACAAAACCCGCTATCGAACTGTATCCGTTGTTGCAGCAGCTCTGATGCAAACTGCGCTCAAATAGCGAACACTTGATATCTAGGCTATCAGGTTTCCCAACGTCGACCCGGACAGCTTGGCGCGGATCGATCACAGCGTTACCGCCGCCGGTGTGCGAAGAGCAGATAGATGGAGGAAATAAAGTCGCGAGATGCAAGGTCAATTACGCGGCTGCAACCGGGTTGAAACTGACGTTCGTTGTAACGTACGATGGACGGAGGGCTAAATGTGCCAAGTTGGGATTATTCGTAGCGAATTTTCGTGCGTGCGCGCGCACGGAAAGAACGATTTTACTAAAAGGTTTAAAAATTTTGCTGGATACAGATCTGGAAATAATTTTGCTGACCAGCTAATTTGTTCAGCTAATTTATTTGTATTTAACATAGTAAATAATTTTGCTAGAAACTTAAAAATTATGAGCACTGCTGATGTAAAACGTTTTGCAACCAGTTTGAGTTTTCAACAAAATTATTTTGATAATCCAGTATTATTTTGAGATCTGTATCCAGCAAAATTGTTCTTTCCGTGCGGGTACGTTTTAACATCCATCACAGAAAGAAATGACAGTATTATCAGCTAAATATCAATAGCTAGTTCAAACTTTTCTGTCATTGCTAAAAGTTAGCTATTCAAGATGAAATGTATTTGTTGCAAAATACAATTTTATTAGCTAAAATTTAAAGTGTACTTTAACACGAGTAATTAACGTAGAAAGATGAATTTGCTGAAAGATCTAAAAATTTTGTTGGATATAGATCCAAAAATAATTGTATTGGACCATAAAAATATTTGTCGGAAACTCAAAAATTAATGATAAGCAATGCTGCAAAACAATTTAATATTATAATAACCAATTTTTTGATAGAGTTATTTTAACGGTCTAATAAAATTTTTAAATCTATAATGTTGAGTGTAGGGTAATACAATACGCCTTGAATTTCTCCTTATGACGAGAATCTTGCTTTATTGCTATGTGTCGGAAACTATATTACTAATGGCGGATCACGACCGAACCCTCCTTACCAAAATCAACCGGAAACGAACGAAAGGCAGCGCCGCGGAACTAGCTAGCGCTGATATAAACCCGGGAAGAATATTGTATTCTAGTGACATTTCTGGTGTGAAACTGAAGCGCGAAATTTGAACTATACTATAAGAGCAAACAAAAAATACAAAGAAAGAATGATTTGACTGATATCTAACATATAATCAGTAAAGATTAATTTAGAGTTTTCAGCAAAATCGTTCTTTCCATATAGCTATATAGAATTAGTTATCATTTAATTCTAGCAGCAAATATTTTTTGCTGTATCGCCTAAATTTTAGCAACTAATAAGTTGAGCTTTAGCAGCAACGATATTAACTGTCCCTATTTTAAAGACACATTTTAGCTGCGCTGATTAATCCTTTTTCTCTGTGTGGCAGTGTCGCTTTTATCTCCGGCGAGGCGCGTCTTCATCAAATATATATATAGCGTCGTCCACGAAATTCGTACACTGCGTCGAAACATCCTACCGACCGTGACCCACCGCCTACGGTAGCATTTATTATTTACAGCCGTTGTTGGCGGGATAATGAACGCCGCAATCTACTTTAAAGCGTGGGGTACTTACGGTTATTACGACGAAAAAAAAAGAAGACGCGCGATGGAATGGGCCCGGCATTTAGAAATGCATCCACTCTCGAGAATTTTTAATTGCGCTCGTCGAGATACGGTTGAGTGTCATAATTGAACAGACTGCCGATTCGCTAGTTACATCGATATCGTATCTAGGAAAAGAAGAGCAGTTACGGCGAGCGGAGGCGGATGTTACTTGAACTCCGACAATGAGTTACGGAAACTCGACGTTACGGGCACGTAGGAAAGAGAGAGAGAGAGAGAGAGAGAGATTGGAAGTCTAGTTTCGCACCCCGATGTGCAGTCGATCGGATTCGCATCACTCGCACTCGCCGGCGATCGTGAGTAGTGGAACGTTCCGAACAACGCGAATGCCGCCGAACGATATTTCTGACATTAATAAACGTCCTATCCCGTTTCGCGCGCGCGCAGTATAAATAAAACTGGGCTACACCCTGTATTGGTGTGTGTGTGTGCGTGTATGTGTGTGTGTGTGTAGGTATATGTTTGCACCGCAAAAAGATACGGCGCCCGACTCATATTCCCGCGGCTCTCTCAAAGATGGGACAGTATTGAATAAAATTGAGATAAATTAGTAGCTCGCACTAATATTTTATGCTCTCTCTCAGGTGCATCCTTTCGTACATCACGGTGTATATATACCGCGACGCAAGTAGTTTTACTTTTGCCAAAACGCACGGAAGCACACTGTCTCGCTGTCGCGCGCGCGATTCCGGCGGGTATCTAAGTACGCTCCTCTACGAGTGCGTCAAGACTGAATACGCAACCGTATTGCACGCAGAAAAAGGATTAGCCAATGAAGCTAAAATATATGGCAGCTAAGATGTGTCATTGAAATAGGGACAGCTAATGTCGTTGCTGCCGAAGTTCAATTTATTAGTTATTAAAATGTAGATGCTGCAGCAAAAAATATTTGCTGCTAAAATCAAATGATATTTAGCCGAATTTACTATGCTATTTTATCTTCGCAATAGAGTAATAATATTTGCAGTATATAACTTATATACTGCAAAATATAAATGTTAAATGCGCTGTAGATGTGCATATGGCAGGGTCACATTGCAAAAACAATTACAAATCAAATTTTCGCGCGTAGCTATAAACTTAGCTCTGTGTGCTAAATGTGTGTATGATAAGACATTTAGGTACGTATGCCATCTTTTTAGCTGCCTGTACTAATGTATGCTTTTAATTTCAGTTAATAAATTTTTTGTCACAGTGAATGTTTTTATCTGTAATAGTCAGAATTTAAAATTAGCGATGACACTGAAGGCGGTAGCTCTTATAGCTACACGGAAAGAACAATTTTGTTGGAAGATAAAAAAATCTGACAATAATTTTTATTAGGTCAGCATCAAAATAATTTTGTTCGAAAGTCAAACTAATTGCTAGAATATCAAAACTTTTTACAGCAATGCTTATTATTCTTGAGTTTTCGACAAAATATTTTGATGAAGCTATAACAAAAATTATTTTCAGATTTTTTTTTGATCTTCCAGCAAAATCGTTCTTTCCGTGTAAGTTTGATTCAGCTATTGAAATTTAGCTACTATTATTAAGTCATTTTTTTGCGTGTGTATAGTTTTCAAATCTTAAAAAATGTATATTGTATACAATATTTTTGTCTTTATCTAATTTTTTCTATATGTAATATTTATCCCGCTTCTCTTTCGCGTATGAAACTTTGACGCAAGTGAAACTCTAGAAGCGAAATGTATCGTTAGTTTTCTATCCAGTATTATATATACATAAAATATAAATATACAAGGTATACATCGCGGTTTTTTTAACGCTGTATCCAAATTGCGTTAGAATTGGTTTTCCGGGACGGGAATATAATATCCTTCCCCCCCTCTTCCCCCCTCGCGCGTTCTCGCGTTGCAATAAAACTTTTTCTCTATTTGGATTCGCGTGATTCTCCTGGGATCCCTCCCGTTCTCCCCTGTCCCTTTTGTAAACCGGATTAATTTGCTGTTGTTGCTGAATAACGGGAGATAGGTTACCGGGGTTGCTTCCGCGCGTGAACTTTTCGGAAAAACACGAGTGCTTCCTCCCGTTTCGCCGCGCCAGAAATTTGAGTCTGGCGCCGCGGAAGGAGCTGGTCGGGATTTAATCCGTGGGCGCACGCTGAATCCGCGCCCGTAGTTGTTTATAACTCTCCGCGACGCGCGCGGGGCGATAATGCACGTAAAGGATAATGGTGTTCGTTGAACATGAGCGCGGCGGAGTGCGTTCTCGATTGCCTGCGGGTGCTCTCTTCCCCCTCTCTCTCCCCCCCCCCCGTGATTTTATGACGTCGCAATATGCATCGCTTCGATAATAGAGAGTAATCCTCCCGCGGCGGTGCATTCCACGGCTGAACGACTGAACGGCCGACTGAATGGTATCGGCGCTACGGCCGATTTGATGAAAATCTATACTGATACCGTCGATCATTACCGCCGGTCGCGTTCTGGAAACTGCCCAGCGTTGCCGCGCCAAAAGCCAAACCGTATTCAAGCCGAATAGAGTGACTATATCGATGGGGACGAACATTTCGGAAGGTCGGACGTTTACCTCGGCGTGGTAAATCCCGATCAGAGCAGCCCCGTTCGTTGCGTTTAACGCGTCGTTTCTGAACGAATCTACAAAAAAAAAAAATACGACCAAAAATTGCGCAATTTTTTCGAACGGAAACGACCGTCAATCAAAAGACGGGGGGGGGGGGGCATTTCTTGAAATTTATTTACCATACATTTCTCGCCTGTATTTGCTCTTTCGCGTTTACGATCGCGGGTTGCACGGGTTGTTTCCGGCGTAGAAACGTTTATTTACAGCTCAAACATTTCTACACGCGGGCGTGATGCATGCGGCCGATATTGTTTCGTAAGGTGGCGTTT